TGTTTACAATTAGAGATGCCCCTCAAGCCTCGTTGGGGTACTCGCCATTTGAGTTAACCTATGGACACAGACCCCAGAGTCTGTTGGATATAGTGAGAGAAGGGTGGGAGGTAGACCCTGTGACAGGAAGAGGGGCATCAGAGTACGTGCAGGATTTAAAAGAGCACTTCCAGTTGGTGAGGGAAGTGGCACAGGAGGATCTGAGGCAGGCACAGAATAAACAAAAGGAGAAATATGATGTGCATGCTAAGGAGAGAGAGTTAAAAGTGGGGCAAAAGGTGCTGGTATTGTTACCTACTTCGACAAGTAAGTTCTTGACATGTCGGCAAGGACCTTTTAAGGTACTAAGAAGAGTGGGACCAGTAGATTATGAGATATCACACCCAGGGGCCAAGAGAGAAAAACAGGTGTACCACATAAATCTTCTTAAAGAGTGGCACAAACCTGAGAAGGCTGAGGGGGATATAGTGGCCTGTTACAAACTAGCAGAGGAGACCAGCAGGCATTGGGGGAGTCTCTGTTCCCCCGAGCACTACCAGAAGTGACCAGGAATAACGGTCACAAGCTGGCAGAGGGTAGATTTAGACTAGATATCAGGAGGCGCTACTTCACTGTCAGGGCAGCTAGGATCTGGAACCAACTTCCAAGAGAAGTGGTGCTGGCTCCTACCCTGGGGGTCTTTAAGAGGAGGCTAGATGTACACCTTGGTGGGATCGTTTGACCCCAGTACTCTTTCCTGCCATGGAAGGGAGTCAGACTCGATGATCTGCTCAGGTCCCTTCCGACCCTAGAAACTATGAAACTATGAAACTATAAGATGGCCCGAATGAGGTGAAAAGGAGAGAGGAAGGAGAAGAAGCCAGCAAAAAGAGTGGGAACCCAGGAAGGCAAAAATGCAAAGTGCCTAGCGGCGTCTTGAGGGGTGGGAAGTGTGAGAGAGAGAAAGAGTTACAGGGCTCAAAAGTACAAGGGCTAAACAAAGGGTCAGTAGCCCCGGACCCACAGCTCCAAAGAGCCTGGCAGAAATCCTCCTTACCCAGGTGTTTCTGGAGGGGAGGGACTGTGAGCACCAATGCTGGTATAAAAAAGAGCCCGGAACAGACAAAGGGGGAGAGCGTAGAACCGGAAGGAGGAGGACTGAGCCGATGCATGCTGCAGGGAACATTCAGAGCAACGTGGAGAGCTGGTAGGAGACTCCTGCAGAGAGCGAGGTCCCCAGAGGGAACTTAAAGCAAGGACTGCTGACCCCGCAGTGCTTAGAACTGTTTGTTACCATGCCAGGAGCCCGCAGAGCCCGGCAGATTTTTTGTACCATAAAGTCGCTAATAGGGGGGGCACTTTAGAATTGCGGTACCATAAAGTCCCTAAAAGTGGCACAAGCCAAAATGGTGTCACAAATGCACCTAATGGGATGACAGGAATCGTGACAACCTCAATGAGAGGCTTAGGAAGAGCCACCCAAGTGTGGGTAGGGGACAAAAAGAAGGACTGACCTCACGAAAGTCAATTTTGTTTTTTGCTCTGTTACTAGGAGCTGGAGCTGGAACCCTAACCCCGGGACGGGAGTGCCTGGTTTTGGTTTTTTCTGTTGTTTTTCTTCTGCTTGGGATGGAAGTCATGCTACAGGACGAAGCAGCTGATCAGCACCCGGTGGAATGGGTGAGGGTGTAGGGGTGGAGGAGCCATCAGGAACGTAGGACCTTCGCGGGATGACTGTGGGGCTACTAATGGGACTACATATCCAGGTACTGAACCAACTCCTTTAACAACAAGTCGTGGCAGGTGAAACATGGGTGTGTAGATCTCCAATTAGAAACGGTGTCACAATAGTTGGCCAGCAGTCAGTGTCCTACAAGTCTGCAAGTGAAGGAGATACTTGACAGAGTGTAACAAATGGTGGGAAGCAGGAGCACAGAGCCATGAAAAAACAAGCTGGCATACTGCCTTCTTTAATTGCTATTTTTGTGGTTATTGGCCGTGGACTTACTGTTTGTATTTTGACTGACAGACTGGTGGTTTGTGGTCGAGGCTGCAGGGGAGGAGGAGACCTCATTAACACTTGGTGCACAGTCATAAAAGGCCAAAGGGCCTAGTGCACTAGAGGGTGCAGTCGTATAGGGTCAGTAGCCCAGAGCTTGCTGTAGGACTTTGAAGTCAGGTCCCAGTGGGGGGATCTTGGCTAGTAGCCCAAGCTATAAGAAAGGACCAAGCCTGAAGAGACAGAAGACCCAACAACTTGGCATCCAGGGGCACAGGGTGAAAGGAGGCCAGAAGGCCTGGCACTATAGTGAAAGCAAAAGGAGGGCCACAGGCCCAGAGAGGATTAAAGAGCTAGAGCCTCAGAGTCAAACCCTACCTGGTGGGTTTGGGCTGGTAGGCCTAGCTAGAGAAAGATGGGGGGCAAAGTCTGTGGTGGCTGAGAACGCCAACATAGAAGTACAATAGGCAGTCTCCTGGTTGTAAGAACATGTAAATAATATTTACATCAAGACATGGCAGGAGAGTAAAGGAGGAATACAAGACAAAAGATAGAAGTGAAGCATTAAGGGACTTCAAGGGTGCCCCTCATAGGCCACTAGAATGCCGCTGGGGAGGGCAACCTGTTACAGGGCCCCGAACAGTTCACCCAGTTTTCTTCTCTCTGCCTGGTGCATATGATTTGTGTGCCCCACCCTCCATGAGGTGAAGCTGGACCAGGTTGTAGGGTGACTATATGGAACAATGTGAAATCTGAGAGGCTGTCTGCCTACCTGCCTGCCCCCCCCAGCCCCCACCTTCATCAGCAGGCCCATTAATGACCAGCATTCTTTACTTCATAGGTGTTAACACTCACCTGTGAAGAAACAATTCATGTTAATAAGACTTCCTACTTCACAGTCCTGCTGCTCTGCTTATCCCCTTTCTGCCTTCATGCCCTGTTCCTGGGATACTCATTTTAATTTTACCCGGCTGGCTGGATCCAGCCTCCAAAACCTCGGACTGTCTGGGCAATCCAGGATGTACAGTTATCCTACTCATCCGCATGTAAATTTCTGGAGGGCCCCAGTTCCAGTCATGAGTGGGGTGCTAATTAGAACATGATTCCTTTGTGTGGGATATCTGGAGTATACACACATACTGAGCAGTGCTGAGCTGTGGGGTCACCATGGCTTGAAATGATGTTGACTCTGGTTGGGCCCAGTCTAATGAACTACATGGAAAATCATGAGCCTTTTGGCTTTGCACTAACATCATGCATAATTTGTACTATATGTAAGTAGGTGAAAAAATGTTGTTTGAAACTGTGTTTATGCTAAAACTTGCAGCAGTTTCGAAAAAAAATGTAACATGCATCAATTCTGGATGAACTAAGTCTATGGAAACTATATGCAAATTGCTACAGCTATGTTTAATTTCAAGGTTATTGTTTTGAAATTTGTTCCTTACTTCTATGTGCTTAGGAAGAGCAAGGTCTGACAGAGCAGAGAGAGTGGATAGAGGTTGACAGGGGGAAAAGTTGGGGGAAGCAGAGAACAAAGGGCCTACCTGATCCCCCAGATTTATTTTCCCTACTATAGTAGTATAGGGGACACAAATTCAAGGCAAACCTTCAACAAATTTATACATTTTCCATATATAGAATCTAATTATTTTGGGGGCATCTTATAATCAGGGCCATCTTCTATTTGAATAAATACAGTAATTAAAATATCCTTTATTTGGAATGTCAATTTATTTTGTGTTGACTACAGCCTTTCATTTTGCTAATGATTTTTATAGCAAAACCACATAGTATTTCACAAGGCAGTTGGGGCAGTTGTAATCTGTGGTGACTGAGCAGAAATTTTGGCAGCTGAGAAAACATGACAGAGTGTCTCTTGACACTAGGAAGTGTTAGTTTTCCTCTTCTTTCCACAAAGGATGCTTAGGTTCAGCTCTGAAACATTTGACCTTAGACACACTGTACTACTAAATGGACTCCTCTGCCCTGAGTTAGGGACCTAGACTCTATATACAGTGCATGGGGAGCATTAGGCACCTCAGAAGGGAATTCTAAGAAGCCAGCAAGCTAAGCAGCATGCTGCTTATGGTAACCTGTAGAGAACACTAGGCAGGAGGGTGAGGCCTTTGCTCCATCCACCAAAGTGCCTAAGTGAATGGTACAGATTTCCCTTCCTCCTCTTAGGATTTATAACTATGAACATTCCATGGAATTAGTTGCCTAAACCAAGTCCTTCATCACAAAAAATGGAAGAGGAAATAAGGGCATGACCTTATACCCAAAATCCAAGTAGTAAAAGGAGTCACCTGGGCAATGGGAGACCCAGGCTTAAGTTCTTCCCTCTCTGCTCATTTTGGAGCAGGAAATTTAGCCCAACTTTCTTCCCCTTCTTCCCTAGGGAAGTGCCTTTACTTTGGGGCAGGTTGCTCTCTTTCTGTCAGGCTGAAGCTGTTCCACCTTATCTAAAATATGGACATATTCACTGAGCCAGAGAGAGGAGTAAGCAAGACTCCCTAACTTGGTGCTTTAAGGCTTTAGTGGCTATTTTAAGTATGTTATGCAAAGTGGAACAGCTTCAGGAGGAGAGGCTGAGATAAGTCTACAGCAACATACCTTATAGCTTAATGGGCTGAATGTTAATGTACTATATCTGCATATAAATATCTGTTCCACAGCAAGCAGAAAACTCTGGAAGGGGGGCATTTATACACATACCTTTCTGTGCTGTGATGCACCGGAGATCCAGCATGTCAGAGCAGACTCAGTTAATCGAGTCTGCTCCATATACAAGCTGACATGCTTGGCGCTGCATCACATGCATTTGTATAAATGGTGTAATGTGCATCAGCACTGGGAAAATGGGGGCAGTACACTTTTGAACGAAAACACCTTTGATGCAAGGGGCTGTGAGAGAATAGCTTGACCTTTTGTGGGGTGTCCTTGGTTTTAATTTTGTGTGTGTGTGGTGGTTATTGTTGTTGTTCTGTTTTGCATTTATTTGAAATGACATGAGATAATATATGGATTGAATAACTGATGTATTTATTTTCTTATATACATTTAAATATGGCACATCTGACAGTAGTTGTAAAATAAATTTAAAATGATAATCAAAGCTGGACAGTAGATCAAATAAGTCAGTGTTGAACATGTGAGAAGCCCAATCCTGTACATTGAAGTTTTGAAGAATGTTTCAACAGAGGGTTGCAGTAGCAAGGAATTGAGAGACTAAGTCTATTTAGTTTGAATTTTTATATAACTGGATGATGGCTGTCACCCTTTTACCAACTTCATCCTCCATATTACAATGTTGAGTTGGCTCCTACCACTGTTCCTCTTCTACAGCAGTAATCCTTCTACTATAGTTATCCATTACAGGATGGCTGCCAATGACCCAGAGGATCTACTAACAGTTAGTGATTAATCTAATAAATAAATGCAGACAGGGTTCATTCTTCTGCCAAGAAAGTGGAAGATGTCCATGTTTACTAATGATTTAAAAGTCAGTGACAGCTACTTTGCAAAGCAGTGTATTGTTGGGAAAGAAGGGTAGGGCAAGCTTGATCAAGGATTTTCTTTGCTTTGGGATCCATGAGAGCCTCTCTTCTCCTTTGGACAGCGACAGTGCCTTGAACACACAGGCTTTGCAGTTGGGCACATTCTGGGTTGGGATGGGCACCTGTCTTCACAGCTGTTTAACAAGATAGAGAGGGAGAGAAATAGAAACATGAAAACTCTCGGCTTTTACATGCTTCATAATTTCTAGCGTCTTAGCTTATTAACCCCAAATGACATGCCTTCATTTGAGAGAAGTTTAGGAGGTCATAGACTGGAAAGGTTCAGTATCTCCATGCAAAGTGAAATCTTAAATTAGAGTTATCAACTTTGTTAGACACAAGGCACCCCTCAGAAAATGCCAGTTCTTAGTTTTCACTGTTTTTTCACTACAGAAAAAATAATAGAGCAATTCTCTTGTTACAAAGAACTCAGAAAGGCAAGTCAGAATGTCTTTAACACTATGGACTCCTATTTGAACTTTCTAGGTTTATCTTGTGAATCATATTTGTATACTTAATTGTGCTACAGCATCCTGCTTGAGAGTCACTGCCTGAGATGCACAGAGACATCTGTATGGAACTGCTCCTTCCACATTGGCTCATTGGGTACCCTTCACTCTAACAATATGTCTTACTATTTTCCAAATTTCTGCACATTTGCACAGCAGCAGCCTGAGAGTGTCCCAAAGTATTGTGATTTAAGAGCAACATGATTTCCAATCAAATTCTCATGTTCTATGGGACCAGCAGGGCACAATACTGAGGATAGTGAGTGTTTCCTTGCTTCATCACCTTTTGGACTCTAAAACCTGCAGACCCTTCATTCCACCGACTTCCAAAAGAGGAGCTTGCCATGAGGTCTCAGAAGACAGGTGGTGATGGTGTAGAGCTAGGAGTCCCTGTCCTGTCCTCCTGAACTTCCCTCAGGATAGCAGGTGGCTGCTAGTTGACTATTACTGAAATCATGTTACGTGCTCCTGAATGGTGCAAGACAGATATAACTGAAGACATAAATGCTCTACTTATTCACGAGTCAAGATAGGTACAACACAGGCAGTGCAAACTTCCCTGTGTTGCCACAGCATGTCTTAGCCATGACCTACACTGTAGACCTAAGTCCTAGAGGGACCATCAGTCTGTATGAAAGACTAGTCAGTTTCTTTTCCCATTCAGTCCTTGAATCTGTAATAGGGCAGTGCATAAATAAGTTTACTCAGTACTTTATATGTTTATTTATATATGTGTGTGTGTGTGTGTGTGTGTACATAT